GGTTGGAATCAAAACTTCATATGGCTAACAGCTGAGGCAAAGGCCAACCCTAAGTTCAGAAAAAATATGTAAAATTTAGATATTCAGGAGTATATTGTTTTTGCTATTTTCCAATACATCATAAGAGAGAATATCAAACATTATCAATAAAATTCAGATTATGGGAATGGACTGACAGGGACACACACCTATGATATTCTCTTAGCCCGTTACGGATTAATGCCAAATATCATGTGAAAAAAAGAAATAAGATTCTCTTGCACTTATCCCCCAAAGGCTAATTATGTAGAAGCATTATATTTTTTTAAAGGAGGTGTAAAAAATGTGCTGTCAGGAATTCGAATTCCGGACCTCCCGAATAGGCGTCAAGTATGCTTCCAATTACACCAAGAACACATGCAGAAAAGAGGGAGAAAATACCTTATAATTATATTGAGGAGTGTATAGAACATAATTTATTCTAATTCTGATATAAACAATCATAAATACTGCAGTATAAATATATATACAATAAAGCTACGTAGCATAAATACATAATAGGAATATTATATGCAATATACATAACAAAAGAGACGTATAAAACACATAATGCAGCATCACTACGTGATGCAAGTAATAATTTTACTGTATATTTATAAAGTAACAATAAATTTGCATACATTGTCAAAGCTATATATCAGAGGTTCTTTGATTCCTTCAATAGAAGACTTAGTTTGAAAAATCATGTATAAATTTATATTTGTCAGTGGCCTTCTCTTTTCTTCCAAAACAAGAGTCATGTGTAATAAAGGAGAGCATCAGCTTCAAAAGCAGCCTATAAACGACAAGATTTAACGTTTTTCTCAAGGAACCTCTGAAAATATAGGGGAATTTCTTAAGATTGATGGCTTATTACGACATGAAATAATCTTTCCTTATTCGTTTGATGCTAACTTTGGAAAGATTTATGAGTGAACATTTTCGCTTCACTATAATCCAGGCTTTTTTGCCATGCGTATAACTTTGCTTTCTGAGATGAGTTTACACAGCGTTTTCCGACACTAGTAAGTCTGGTTCAATGCTCTAATGCTGTATTTTGGCTGCTTCGTCAGCCGACCCGTTTTTTAATGTATTAAAGTGACCTCAAACCCAAAGGCTGAAGTTTCACTTTTCGTTGGGCGTAGCTTGTTATTTCTTTTGAAGAAAAATTACTGTAAAACTTAGGTTGGCTATCGGAGTAAGTATTGACTATACTATTTTTCTCTTAAATCATACTATAGCCTTATATAGGGCTAATGTTTCCGTCTGGAACACGGCACCAGTGTCATTGAAAGGAAGCTTTTTAGTGTGAACTTATGTTCCATGTTTTAATATAATAAAAACTGCACCAACCTTACTTTCGATCTTCGAGCCATCAGTAAAAAAACATAATGCAACATAATAGTACTACTTGGAAATCCAATGAACATTAAAACTTAATGCTGAATGACTCTTTTTCCATAAGTATTTTTGTTATAATGTTATAATTTCTTCCTTCGCGTATAAATCTGTAAATTTCTTATGTCAGAATATCTTTAATATGGAGTGGTAACAAGCCAGTAAGAACTTGTAATGCTGCATGAGCTGAGCATAATGCTTTATTAAGGCTTTTTAACACAGTTCTTTGAATCTGGAGCAATTTATTAGAGATCCTCATTGTATCGTTTCCTTTTCACCAAGTAGGACATTCATATAGTATCAGCATTTCAAATAAGTTCTTCGCTTTACCACTCACCCCAGGTATGCATCATGTTACATATTCTCTAATAGAATATGTATCATATTCTCTAGTTACATGGGATTCCAAGATATCGCTTCCATATCTGGGACTGGTTACAGAAACCTTAATCAAAGAAATGTAGCTCGGCGCGGTTGTTTTCGATGATTCCACTCCAAACCATAAAACCGCTTCCGCTTAAACGGGATCTTTCATGAAGTAGCGAAGTCAAGTTGCATGTTCTTTGTCCTTTCCAAGTCAAAATATGTTTAAAAGTCACAATTTAGGCTATGGCTGGACTTATCAGCAAACAGTACACAGTCCCATTCCTCTTGGCTGCATTGAACATGACGTCTCCTTAAACGGGCCTTTCTCGAAAATAAAGTGAGTGGGATACAAACCATTAGTTTTTTTTTTTTTTTTTTTTTTTTTGAATAAATTCCAACTCTGTGAAGACTTCGTGTAGCAGTAGAATGGCTAGTTGCAGTTTCTGTGTAAACTTAAATGTCTAAAACAACTATTTCGTAGTCACTTCACTGTTTTTTAAGAGCCAACAATGACAAAAAAGGTCTTAAAATGCAATTCTTTTGCTTGGCCGCCCTTGTTCAAGCTACTAATTGATTTACTGCTTAAAAAGCAGTTCCACTTTCTTGATATGACCCATTGGATATATTCAAATCTTGGAGGACCACCTTGCTTTCGCTTTTCCCCTCAAAACTACTGAATAGCCGCCACTTTTGGCTTCCACTTAAATAATATCTTTGACTCATAGCTTATGAGCACAGATCACTTTGAAAAGCCACATTAACTTTAAAATAGATTAGACACTCGAATTCGTACATGCGTCCACTGTGCGACACATTGTCAGTCGCTGAAGTTGCATATTTCCTGCGCTAACCTATGCAAAGCTTAATTTTGCGTTCATTTGCAGATAATTAACGTTAATAATTACACGAATGGACATTAGTTGAACATATTTTTTTTTCAGATTATCCTTTAAATTTGATAAGCAGGATGTATTGGTTAAGTTATTCTCCGCATCTATGGCATTTCTTCTGGTATAAAGCCATATTGTGATGGTTGTCGAAGTTAAGTGCTCTGCAGAAAGAACATAAATTTATGTGCAAGAAATTTGTCCACTGTTTTGCCCATACGGACAAAGAAACATCCGGAGATACGTTGTTGTAACTTCTTCACCTTTATCCTTTTTATGAATAAGGTCATCTTTCCAAACACTGAGGAAATAGCCCAATTCCAAGCATTAATTCAATATGTTTAAAAACAATTTATCCTTTGGTAATTTACTTGCACTTTCTTTTCCCTGTCCGGAAGTGATCAGAATGGGATTGATTTCATTCACAGTGGCTTTTTTTTTTTTTTTTTTCTAGTTAATGAATATCTTGTAAGTAGTTAAATGTATGGTGGTACGCGCATTTGTATTTTGTTCTAGATAGTCTTGCGGAAAACGGTAGTTAATTTTATACTTCACAATACTTTTCGTTATTTTAGTATAAAACTCATCCAAACTTCTCATTACGAAAATTTTAAAAAAGGCAATATCGTTTGTTTTTATTATTTGGCCTTTTATGGCAAGAAGAGAGTTAGTTGAGGATTTCTCTCTGTACAGAAACCGTGTTTCTAATTTGCCTCTAAAATATTCTTTTTGTATTTCTTTTTTCTTTCTTCTGTTTAAAGGGAAAAGTTGAGATTATCTCTGAAATTCATTTGGAACATGTCTTTGGTATCTTCTCCAAAGTGCTCTTTCTTCTGTTGAACATACAACTACGGTATCTCTCATGGGTGAAAATTCGAAACTCATTCGGAATTCTCCGCGATTTCAGAAAAATAAAATAAGCTTCCATCAGCTTATTTATAGATTTTTGAAGGAGATTTCCTGTAGTTTGAGGAATTTCTATTTCACGAAGAGACAAGAAATATTATGCGATTTTTTGGTGAAATTTTAGCAAATCAGTATTTTTTATTTTAATCTCAAAAGATCTCCAAACTTGAACTCTCAATTTTTCTGAAGAAATATCAGTGAATTTACTCATCTAAAAATATATACCAATAAAAATGAGCTGCTAATATTCCATAGAAAAGTAGTTAAAATTGTGCAAAATAACGTGCTTACCAACGGCCGAGGAGTAAAATCGCTAAACACTGATTGTTCGATCTAGCCTCAAATTCCAGCAGGCCGGCTGGCTGAGTGGATGTTTTCGTGGTTTTTCCCATGCGTACGATACGATCATTAAGGCGTACAATCCGATAGGCAGACAGCCTTCGAAGAGCTTTGCCTTAATTGATTAACCTAACCTAAATGTAAAAAAATAACAAAATTTGGTAGCACAGCGCTGTTTAGAGAATTTCAAAATTTTCAAAATGCAGATCTGAAAACTTATAAAATCGCCAAGCTTACTGATTCACCCAGCAAAAATATGAAATAATGAATGAAGCGATAAAAATTTAAAGCAAACGTATTTTGGCTGTCAATACATACAGAGGGGCTAACACATGTTAAGGACAATTTCGATAAAGAATTAAAGAAAAGAAAATGCAACACTACATTGGCGCCCGAACAGGGACCAATGTGGTGTTGCGCGGCCCCAACCTGCACGCAACAATAGTGACTGCTATGAACTGGAAAGTACACAAACTCTTAAGAAGGGTTTAACTCCCTTTTTATTCCACTTTAGAAGTTACAGATGCGTGCACTTGACGCTCACAAACTACGCCGACCCGGCGGTAAAATAAAAATAAGAAAGTACAACTAAAAATGAATAATAACAGGTCACTACCTACGATGCTCTCTAAACGTAACTAACCTAACCGCGTTCTAAGATACAGCTGAGATTTCAGCAAACTTTCTGAATATTAAGTTGAAAGATTCAACTATCTGCCGAAGCAAGCACACAGGCCGAAACGCGTGGTTCTTAAATTTATACCTAGCAACCTTCACGCTCGTGAATCAAGAAAGCACACCTACAAACTCGTTTCCCTTCTATTTAACTCAAAATTACTTCTGCTAAAGATTTGAATACTTTGCGCGTTCTACTAAAATTTACATACTCTGGCATTGGCAATTCCAGGGGAAAGTAAGGCTTGACAGGAAAGATAGCTAGCTTAAACTTAAAATAAATGTTAGTTAAAATAAATATAAACCCTACAAAGTATAAAATAAGTGTGACATGTCTTTGTATTAAGTTTACTAATAAGAAAAGTAACAAATAATTCAGTGAATTTAAATCGCTTTTAACATGATTTACAGGTTTGGCTTCGGTACCCAGCATCGTTCATGATATTTTGATGTGCTATGGACGTCGTAATGGAGGTCGTCGTAATGGCGGACGAACTACTACTACAGCTGAGCCTGAAGAAGATCCGTAAATGGGATCCGATGGGATGTCTTATCAACTTCTTAATATGCTTATATTTTCATAATACGTTCCTTTTTCATACACTTTACTGCAGGAAAGCTTCATGTGAAACCTAAATAACAAGCAATAAAGTAAATGTTATAGCAACTTCATATTAAGTCCTTATATTATTTCTTTCAATTGTGACATATATTCTGCGCAGTTATTGAGCATATTAAATACTAAGTATAAAATATATTTTGAATGCGTAGTTTAGGTTAAATATGTGTTTACACGCTTAAATAAATTCTGTCCTTTACTACTTATTTGAAACATTCAGTTTTAATTAACAAGAAGTATTCTAACTGAATTTTTTTCTGTTTAACTTCTGTCAATGAAAACAGCTTTAAAGGAATAAGAAATAATATGTCATCAATAGCATTGTAAAAAATCATTATGATCTGTAGCAAAATATATGATAGTAAAAAGTGCTATGTCGATGTGTAGGAGACTTAACAAGAGAATAATATTAGCGTAACAAGCACATGTTTCTACATGGCTTGCCATTACACCATGAAGGAAAACTGTGAGCACAATTGTATTTATTTTACAAATGCATTATAATTTAAGGGTCAACAAATCAGAATTTTAGGTAATTTTGAGGCACACAGGGTAGAACAATCCATATACCAAGCATTCGCTTCTGAATTTAGGTGGCAGACAGAAGTACAGCTGTTCAGTTGTATAAGCCAGATATCATCTATCGGGCTAGCGGGTGAACGTTGTCGTGCCAGTATGCTACAGTGATTGATCAAACATTTTCAACTGATGAGAAACCTGGAGAATGCGCCGAACAAATAATTCTGTTTATTGAGGAAACCTAGGCAAATACGGCATCGTATTTTTCGGCTGAAAAGTGGGCTAGCGGAGACCCCTGAAGGTACGGCATAACCAAGATATCCAAATCTCGGTAATGTAACAATGACTGATCAAAATACCGGATATGTGTTCTAGAAATGAAGGGAATCTGTACTCAGGCGCACATGTATAACATAAATTCAAATGCTGAGTTGGGATGAGGAGGTAGAATGCAAGGTTTCACCCTTTGTTCCTCTCGGTACATTCTCACACGCATACGACCATTACGATGGGTTAAAGCCGAAACATCACTGACGAAAACGTCTAAAACCAGGAAGCTGGTTGTCTTGCACAGCACCAAGTATTCGCACATACATTTAAAGCTTGAAAAACGTATATCTGAAATGCTATCGTCATGCGATGACTTAAAGGTGCTTTACTTTCTCCGACAATATTTTCAATGACGATGATTTTAAAATGCCAACTTTTTGAACCGCTTTGTTTTCGTCGACGATATTTTGTACAACGATGTTTTAGAACTGTTATGTTCTCTCCTTGTTTTCTTTTCTCCTGCAATGTTTTGTACCACGACGTTTTCGCCTTATGTTGTTTTCTCCGCGACGTTTACGTTAGCGATGTTTTCGGTGGACACCATTAGGATGCTGTAAGCAAAAGCACGATTCGTCAGAAAAGATAGCACAACACATCCATGAGCGTCAGTGAACGTGCTATTGTAGGCACTGATATCTGTTCTATAATCTCAAGGCAAGCCGAAGTAATGGTCATGTTGCTGAAAATCCATGGCTTTGTAGCTGACTTCACATGGGACGTGCAGGTACTTGATGCTGTTCAAGGCAACCAGTTTCCTGATTTGGATAATTTTGATTTTCTGATACCATCTTATGTGGTGGTATGATTCCTAAAAGCGATGCGAACAAAATTCCATCATTTGTAATATTGAGGTGTAGGAATCGTTTAGATCCTACGTCATTCTGTGTAGTCCTTATGGGCCTATGGACTTCAAATTTACATAATAGACGTTGAATCTCGACCAATATGAGGAGAAATTGGGTGGCATGATAATCCGCAATGCTGGTAGACTACGATTCCCCTGCGCTCCAATTCTGTGAAATATTTGTCTATATCCAGCTTCCGACACAAGAAACAACAGGTGTTGGCTTTTTATACTGATTCGAGATATTATTACTCTTGTTTGAAATGTATTCACGCAGTGAAATGCTAATCATTTACGTATCTTAGCGTGTTCTGTTCTTCATGCAAATATCAGGTTGATTCTTTGCTTTCTTCAGCCTGTAACAATTTTAAACACCAGCAGTACAAAAATATGAGTAATATTTTGGTCTAACGTTCTAACGTAATTTTAGAAAACTATTGAATTGCACACGCTTACATTAAAAAGTAAATATAAGAGAAACAAAAGAATAACTTTTGTGCGCTCCTTAAATTTTAAATTAAACTTATATATTGTAAATTTTAATTCATAGCAACATATCTTTTACTTTTTTTTCGGATATAACTCTTGTAATAAAAAACATGAGTTGAATAATGCAATTATTTCTTTTATCGTGTATTCTAAATAAATGTGTTACAAGTTTTGATATACATCTTACCGAAAGTTAGCCTGATTTCATCTTCATAGCAAAAGTGAAAGTAAGTTTGGCGAATACAGAGCAATTTCATATGCTCTCTCTTTAAAAAAGACATCCGAAAGAGAGAAAAGAGAAAAAGGAAGAGCCAGGATAAGGCGTGGATCTTTGCTAGAGGAAACATTTTGAGGAATCTCGCATTTAAAATATACTGATACAAAAGTTCTGTCTAGAAGTTGTTGATCGACGGAAGAAGTTTACAACGTCTTCGGATTTCCTTCAGTGGAAAGCTATCAATAAAATTTGGGTGGATCTTAAGGCAGGTAGCTTCGAGGCAACCGTTAAGTCTTTTTCTGCCCAGTGCAATTTGGTCATACTGTTGCCATTTAAAACTATACGTGTACGTATAAAAGCATAAAAACACTTATTTAAACTTTAAAAAGAGAAAAGCTTGAACCATAGTATAAATTATACATATAATTAAAAGTGAAAATTTTTAAAGATCGCACTTCATTTATTATTACTATTCAAATTTCGCCTTTTTGTAAAGCTATGATGACTAATTCATTGAATTTATTTTTTTTCATTGCTGTATAAGAAGGTGTTGTACAGATGCATTTAGCTATAGCTGCTATAAAAAAGTTCGCTTCTCAAATTCTAATAAAATAAATGAATGAATTACATTAATAGCCTAAAGAGGTGAATAAAATAATAACAATAAATAACAAATAAATAAGGAGTAATTAAAATTAAATAATGAAATCTGTACCTTTAATTAAGTTACGATAAATAGCAAATTCTTATTAAAATTAAATAATCAAAGAAACAAATGAAAAAAGAGAAAATTTGTAATATAAAATACGAAGAACAAAAGAAAATTAAATATAGTAACAGCATTTCAGCTCATTTATGTAAAGAAATAAGTGTTTAATTCGATTGCTTATAAAAAATATTTGCTTTCACATCTGTAAATGAAAAAAAAAAACTATCATAAAAATTTTGGAGTGGAAATATAAAAACAAAAGCTAAATTGTTAAATATACGTTTATTAGTTTTGCTTAGCTTCATCACGTGCGCGCTGCGTGGTTAGTTTTCTGCCAGCTGTAATATTTTTAATTATTCGGCTTTGCGATTTCTCCCTGCTGATACTTTAATTCTGAAGCTTCTAGTAGTACTTAATTCTGTAGTCCTTGATTACTGGTCGAAGTTTTCTTTAAACTGGACTGTTTTTTGATTTACATCACCACGAGTTGTCGCTTAGCACAAGAGAGTGCCTTTATATTCTAAATTTTGTTTAAAGACTTTTTTTTAACCTTCTCAGGACTTCGTACTTCTCAGGAATTTGGGTTCCATATTCACGAACCGACACTGGTGATACCTTTCGTTGAACATTTATTACACTTCTGATACACTTTTGATAATGCAGTACAGGAACAGCCAGAAAGTGAAGCCTGTTACTAAAATACTGACACTTTCCTATGGCTACAACTGTCTACCTGTGATCCGACTTGAGTCGGATGTTTTTCGATACTGTTAGTAAATGCTTGTTAGTTACAAATAGGATAAACATATGTAATTTACAGTAGTTGCAGTTCACGTCCGTATCTTGTGCTTTTCATCATTTTCCCTATTACGGCAAAACCCATAAAATTAGATAATTAATTGCTTTAGATTAGTGACCTGAAAAACCAGTGAATTCCAACTTTTAAATAGCTAGAAATAGCTTTTATCAGATTTGAAGTTTTTCAAGCTCAGGTTTCAAGTAAACCGTATTTTGACTTTAGAATCTTGCGAGGAGTACTTTGAAGTTTTTTAAAGTCGTTATTTTATTCTTCCTTACACTAACTACCATGCTACTATCATCCAAGTGACCCGCGAAATGTTGCCATTGCACAAAACAAAAGATATCTAGCTCATCTTCCACACAGTATAGCAAGCATCCAGCTTCTAGGATTTTGCTATTCCTTAATTTAGATTTCACGTCTTCGAGTTGCTCTGAAGAAAGAGGAAAATCAACACAAGTTGATATACTGCTCGTGAAACTTCTGGAGCACAGCTACTTGTAAGCGTTGTGAGAAAAAATTTGAAAAGGTTTACTTACCTTTAAATATGAGATAAACAGACAAATATTTCATAATTTAGGATCAGTAATTATAAAAATGATTTTCTTTTATTTTACTGGTATTTATTTCTTCAATTAAGTGCCAGAAATGCTTACCACAAATATTCCAAATTGCTGCGCTCCAGTTATATAAGAGATGAATTTTCTGGCACATAACCTAAAAAGGTTATACGCGCCAAACACAAGTTTAAACCACAGCAGATTTATAAAATTAAATGAAGTAATAAAATAGTGCAACTGATGAAACTGTATATAAAAGTCAGATGATTTCTGATCTGAGAAAAGAATAAATCATTAAATATGAAATACGATAAAATATACAATATTAAAAGATCAAGGGACAACTTAAAAATTAAATCAAATTAAATAATAAAGACCTGTCTCTTTCATATACAGAAATATATCGACTGACTTCTTCACCGATTATTCGGTCAAAAGGCATGCCACAGTCTCTAAAATGCTTTAGCAGAAATTAAGACACTTCTGTTGAAGCATTTTAGAGATGGACACTCAATTATAAAGAGGAGAACTGATAAGAGCATTATAGTGGCGGACAGGCTCACAC